GGTGTTTCTGGTTTCTTAGAATATATTCCCAGAAGTGAGATCACTGGCTCATAAGGTAGTTCCATTCTTCATTTTCTGAGAAAACTCCATACTGTTTTCCACAGTGGCTGCACCAGTCTGCATTCCCACCAGCAGTCCACAAGGGTTCCCTTTCCTCCACATCCTCACCAGCACTTGTTTGTTGATTTTTTGAAGATAGCCATTCTGACCGGTGTGAGGTGATATCTCATTATGGTTTTAATTTGCATTTCTCGGATGATTAGTGACTTTGAGCATATTTTCATATGTCTCTTGGCCATTTGTATGTTCTCTTTGGAGAAATGTCTATTCAGGTCTTCTGCCCATTTCTTAATTGGATTGTCTTCCTTTTGTTGAATTGTGTGAATACTTAGTATATTTTAGATATTAAACCCTTATCAGATATATCATCGACAAATATGTTCTTCCATACAGTGGGCTCTCTTTTCATTTGGTGGTGGCTTCTTTTGCTGTAAAGAAACATTTTATTTTCATGTAGTCCCATTCATTTATTTTCTCCTTAGTTTCCTTTCCCTAGGACAGTCGTCAGCAAACTGCAGCTCGTGAGCCATATGCGGCTCTTTGGCCCCTTGAGTGTGGCTCTTCCACAAAATACCACGTGCGGGCGCGCACGTACAGTGCAATTGAAACTTCGTGGCCCATGCGCAGAAGTTGGTTTTCGGCCTGGGCGAGTCTATTTTGAAGTGGCGTTAGAAGAAGTGGGGTGTTGGTCGGTCGGTCGGGCGACGGGAGACAGGTGCAGGCGGCCACGGGATACGCAGCGCGGGGGAGGCGCGTGTGATTCATGCACGGGTTGAGTGAGCCAGTCAATCAGCAGTCTCATTGTGCAGTGGTTAGTGCTAGTTGAATCCGCAATCGTGCATGGCTGACAAAAGTACCTACTTGAAGCATAAACTTATCTGTATTTTTCCAACCAACTGCAAATCCTACAGGTATTTTTGTCATCAATTTTAAGAATTGTAATTCTTTTGTGTTGGTGGCATCCTTATCTCATAAAAGAGAAACATGCAAATTGACCATAACCCCAACACCCTTCCCATTGGCTAATCAGCAGGATATGCAAATTAACTGCCAACCAAGATGGCTGCCGGCCGCCAGGCAGCTGAAGCTAACAGGAGGCTTGCTTGCTCCAGTGACGGAGGAAGCCAAGGTTCCTGGCCTGCGGCAGCCCAGTTCTGAGTTCCGGATGCAACAAAGTTGCAATTAGAGAAGCTAAACAAACTCCAGATAGCTGCTTTCAGCCGGCAGCGGCTCAGAGCTTAGAGCAGCACTGATGGCAACAGTGTTTCAATTATAGAACCTAAACAAAGCCCACATATCTGCTTTCAGCAGCCGAGGCCTCAAGCTGGAGCCAGCCTCAGAGCTAAAGCTGGCTCTCAGCTCCAGTTACAGCCATAGAAAGTAAATAAATCCCAGAATAAAAAAAAAGAAAAGAAAAAAAAAGGAGAGGCTGGGAGCTTCAGTCACCCGCCAGCCTGAAAACAGCCCTCAGCCCCTCACCCAGACTGGCCAGGCACCCCAGTGGGGACCCCTACCCTGAAGGGGGTGCAGGCAGCCTAAAAACAGCCATCAGCCCATCATCCAGGCTGGCCAGGCACCCAAGCAGGACTCCCACCCTGATCCGGGATACCCTTCAGGGCAAACCAGCCGGCCCCCACTCATGCACCAGGCCTCTATACTATACTACAGGCAGGGCGGGACAGCGCGAGCTGCCATCCGGGCCCCATGTGCAGCCCTGGGCAGCGGGGCATAAGCCCCGCCCCCAGCCGGGACCCCTGTGTGCCACCTGAGCCCCCAACCGGGACCCCCATGCCGCCTGAGCCCCGCACTGCTAAGCCCCGCCAACAGCCGGGACCCTATGACTATTGGAGAGCAGGAAAGTGCCACTGGGCCCTGGGTCACTGTGGTGATCCGGCCATCAGTAAGTAGAAAAGTGCGGCCTATAGGCAACCCCCAGCTGCGCCTGATCCGGGAGCAGGAAAGCAAGCCCAGCCTGCGGGCAACCCCCAGATGTGCCTTCTCCCCGGGCACCATGAGGATCCAGGAGCAGGAAAGCAAACCTGGACTGCGGGCAGCCCCCAGCTGGGCCTGATAAGGGAGCAGGAAAGCCCAGCCTGCGGGCAACCCCAAGCTGGGCCTGATCCAGGAGCAGGAAAGCCCGGCCTGTGGGCAGCCCCCAGCTAGGCCTGCTCCCCGGTTGCCATGGGGATCCGGGAGCAGGAGAGTAAGTCCAGCCTGCAGGCAGCTCCAAGCTGGGCCTGCTCCCCCGTCGCCATGGCGATCCTGGAGCAGGAAAGCCCAGCTTGCAAGCAGCACCCCCATCCTGGCCATAGCTCAAGGGAGAGTACAACATGCAGTGGAGGCCAGGAGCCTGAGGGATCAACACAGAGGGGCTCCTGCTCCAAGCCTCCATGGTGTGGCTGGGGGCAGGCCCCCAGCAGACACACACACACACACACACACACACACACACAGTGCCTGCTCTGAGCCTCCAATGTGGCTGGGGGCAGACCCCCAGTGGGGACACACACACACACACACACACACACACACACACACATGGGACGCCTGCTCCGAGCCTCTGCTGCCAGACTGTGGCCATCAGTAGGACATCCACTGAGGGCTCCTGGACTGTGAGAGGGGCAGGCTGGGCTGAGGGAACCCCCCACCCCCCCAGTGCATGAATTTCATGCACCGGGCCTCTAGTTATTATTATAAAATGAAACATTTTTTTAGGTGCCCTGTTTGAGATGGCTACAAAGAAGCAGCAAAGAAAAACAGAAGACAAAAAACGTGAATTTAAAGTTGAATGTACCTACCTATATAGTTTAAGATTAAAAAATTTGGCTCTCAAAAGAAATTTCAATCGTTGTACTGTTGATATTTGGCTCTGTTGACTAATAAGTTTGCCGACAACTGCCCTATGAGATGTGTCAGTGAAAATTCTACTATGTGAGATGTCTTAAGATTTTTGCTGCCTATGTTTTCTTCTAAGATTTTTATGGTTTCATGTTTTACATTTAAGTCTTTTATCCATTTTGAGTTTATTCTTGTGTATGGTGTTAGTTGGTGGTCTAGTTTCATCTTTTTTCATGTGTTTGTTTAGTTTTCCCAACACCATTTGTTGAAGAAACTATCTTTACTCCATTGTATGTTCTTGCCTCCTTTGTCAAATATTAATTGACCATAATTATCAGGGCCAATTTCTGAGATCTCTGTTCTGATCCATTGGTCTATATGACTATTCTTGTGCCAGTACCAGGCTGTTTGAGTTATAATGGCTTTGTAATATAGTTTGATATCCAATATTCTGATCTCTCCAACTTTGTTCTTTGTCAAGATTGCTGCAGTTATTGAGAGTCTTTTATGGCTCCATATACATTTTTGGAGTATTTGTTCTAGTTCTGTGAAGTATGCTATTGGTATTTTAATAGGAATTGCATTGAATCTATAGATTGCTTTGGGTAGTACAGACATTTTAATGATGTTAATTCTTCCAATCCATGAACATGGTATATGTTTCCATATTTTTTGCATCTTCCTCTATATCCTTTTTCAAAGTACAGGTCTTTTACTCCATGGTTAAGTTTATTCCTAAGTGTCTTATTTTTTTTGTTGGAATGGTAAATTGGATTGTTAGTTTTTTTAGTTTCTCTTTTGAGAGTTCATTATTGGTGTATAAAAAGCCATTGATTTTGGGGTGTTCATTTTGTATCCTGCTATGTTACCAAATTTATTTTTAAACTCTAGTAGTTCCCTGGTGGAGTCTTCAGGGTTTTCTATGTACAATATCATGTCATCTACAAATAATGACAGTTTTACCTCCTACTTTCCAATTTGGATGCCTTTTATTTCTTTTTTTAAAATTTATATTCTTCATTGTTTAAAGTATTACATAAGTCTCCTTTTTCCCCCATTGACCTCTCCCTGGCCATTCCCACCCCCCAGAATATGCCCTCACCCCCTACTGTCTGTGTCCATTGGTTATGCCTATCTGCATGCATACAAGTCCTTTGGTTGATCTCTTACCTCCTCCCCCCGCCTTCCCTCTTAGGTTGGACAGTCTGTTCAATGCTTCTATGTCACTGACTCTATATTTATTCATCAGTTTATGTTGTTCATTATATTCCACAAATGAGTGAGATCATGTGATATTTATCTTTCTCTGACTGCTTATTTCGCTTAGCATAATGCTCTCCAGGTCCATCCATGCTGTTGCAAATGGGAAGAATTTCTTCTTTTTTTATAGCAGCATAGTATTCCATTGTGTAGATGTTCCACCATTTTTTTTCTTGTCTAAACTTTTACATAAGTCTCCTTTTCCCCTACTTGATCTCCCCTTCAGCCATTACCACCCCAGGGCAAGCCCCCACCACCTCAGTGTCTGTGTCGATTGGTTATGCTAATATGCATGCGTACAAGTCCTTTGATTGCTCTCTAACCCCCACAACCATGCCATTTGTCTCTGGATCTATTGTTGTTCATCAAATTATGTTGATCATTATATCCCACATATGAGTGAGATCATGTGATATTTATCTTTCTCTGACGGGCTTATTTTGCTTAGCATAATGCTTTCCAGTTCCATCCATGCTGTTGCAAATGGTAAAAGTTTCTTCTTTTTTTATAGCAGCATAGTATTCCATTGTGTAGATGTACCAAAGTTTTTTAATCCACTCATCTGCTCATGGGCACTTAGGCTGTTTCCAAATCTTAGCTATTGTAAATTGTGCTGCCATGAACATAGGGGTGCATATATCCTTTCTGATTAGTGTTACTGGTTTCTTGGGATATAGTCCTAGAAGTGGGATTACTGGGTCAAATGGAAGTTCCTACTTTAACTTTTTGAGGAAATGCCATACTGTCTTCCACAGTGGCTGCACCAGTCTGCATTCCCACCAACAGTACATGAGGACTCCTTTTTCTCTGCATCCTTGCCAGCACTTGTTGTTTGTTGATTTGTTGATGATAGCCATTCTGACAGGTGTGAGATGGTATCTTGTTGTTTTCATTTGCATCTCTCAGATGATTAGTGACTTTGAGCATGTTTTCATATGTCTCTTCCTTCTATATGTTCTTTCGAAAAGTGTCTATTTAGATCCTTTGCCCATTTTTTGATTGGATCATCTATCTTCCTTTTGTTAAGTTGTATGAGTTCTCTGTAAATCTTGGAGATTAAACCATTGTCTGAAATATCATTGGCAAATATGTTCTCCCATGCAGTGGGATTTCTTGTTGTTTTGTTGATAGTTTCTTTTGCTGTGCAGAAACTTTTCATTTTGATGCAGTCCCATTTTTTTTTATTTTATCCTTAGTCTCCATTATTCTAGGAGCTGTGTCTATAAAGATATTGCTCTGACATATGTCTGCTATTTTGCTGCCTATGGAGTCCTGTAGGATTTTTAATGGTTTCCCAACTTACATTTAAGTCCTTCAGTGATTTTGAGTTTGTTTTTGTGTATGGTGTAAATTGGTGATCTAGTTTCATTTTTTTGCATGTATCTGACCAAATTTCCCAGCACCATTTATTGAAGAGACTGTCTTGACTCCATTGCATGCTCTACCTCCTTTGTCAAATATTAATTGAGCATAATGGCTTGGGTCGATTTCTGGGTTCTCTGTTCTGTTCCATTGGTCCATATGTCTGTTCTTGTGCCAGTACCAGGCAGTTTTGAGAACCATGGCTTGGTAATATAGCTTGATATCTGGTATTGTGATCCCTCCAACTTTGTTCTTCTTTCTCAGGATTGCTGTGGCTATTCGAGGTCTTTTTTTTTTTTTTACTCCAGATTAATTTTTAGAGAGTTTGTTCTAGATCTTTGAAATATGCCATTGGTATTTTAATGGGGATTGCATTGAATCTGTAGATTGCTTTGGGTAGTATGGGCATTTTAATGATGTTGATTCTACTGATCCATGAACATGGTTTGTTCTTCCATCTGTTTATGTCTTCCTCTATCTCTTTTTTCAATGTCCTATAGTTTTCCGAGTACAGGTCTTTTACCTTCTTAGTTAAGTTTATTCTTAAGTATCTTAATTTTTTTTGGTGCTATGGTAAATGGGGTTGTTTTTTTTCATTTCTCTTTCTGTGAGTTCATTATTGGTATATAAAAAGACCATAGGTCTCTGGGTGTTAATTTTGCATCTTGCTACATTGCTGAATTTATTAGGTCTAGTAGTTTTTTGATGGAGTCTTTGGGGTTTTCTATGTATAGTATCATGTCATCTGCAAAAAAAGGACAGTTTTACTTCTTCTTTTCCAATTTGGATGCCTTTTATTTCTTCTTCTTGTCTGATCGCTATGGCTAGCACTTCTAGTACTATATCGAACAGGAGTGGTGACAGTGGGCATCCCTGTCTTGTTTCTGTTCTTAGAGGAAATTAGTTTGGTTTTTGCCCATTTAGTATGATGTCCTTTATTCTGAGGTGGGTCTCCTGTAGACAGCAGATATATGGGTCATGTTTTCTTATCCACTCAGTTACTCTATGTCTTTTGATTGGTGCATTTATTATGTTGAGGTATGATCCCTCTATTCCCACTTTTATTTTTTATTTTTTTAATTAAATCTTTATTATTCAGATTATTACAGTTGTTCCTCTTTTTCCCCCCCCATAGCTCCCCTCCACCCGGTTCCCACCCCATCTTCTGCCCCTACCCCACCCCCACTGTCCTCATCCATAAGTGTACGATTTTTGTCCAGGCTTTTCCTGCACCCCCCAAACTCCTCCCCTCCCCCCCCCGAGAATAGTCAGTCCACTCCCTTTCTATGCCCCTGGTTCTATTATATTCACCAGTCTATTATGTTCATCAGATTATTTATTCACTTGATATTTAGATTCACTTGTTGATATGTATTTGTTGTTCATAATTTTTCTCTTTACCTTTTTCTTCTTCTTCCTCTCCTTAAAGGATACCTTTCAGCATTTCATATAATACTGGTTTGGTGGTGGTGAAGTCCTTTAGCTTTTTCTTATCTGTGAAGCTCTTTATCTGACCTTCAATTCTGAATGATAGCTTTGCTGGGTAAAGTAATCTTGGTTGTAGGTTCTTGCT